TATGCCATTTTCCACCAAGAGAAGGAGCTTGATTCTATAAAATACTTACCCAATGGGACACTGACAATAAGCATACTGTACAGAACATCTTTCATTGGTTGTCACACACAAATATACAGTATATTTGTCCTTTTTCATGGAGGCTAAACACGAAGCCATGACATAAACTACTTTATCTCCAATCTGAAATTAAATTAATTCAAATTTAAAGTTTAACTTGTTATATGTTATAACTCACTGCACTCAACATTTATAAGACTTTTACTTGTGTACCCAGTATCAATACAAAGCCCAGTTATTTTCTTCAATTCAAAATCAAAGAAGTTTGAAAAAAAATACTAATTCTATATTGTGTACAATCATATGAAAAACCTGCAGGCTGCAGAAGAAATGATAGAAAAATAGGGGCTTGATTATTTCATAGCCTAACCGTTATGTACAGTCAGAGACTGTGTTATAAACGTCTCTGGTACAGTACGTAGCTGCTCCGTAAAAAAAAATACAGAAAAGGGGTATTCAAATGAAAAGAAACCATTTATATCACTTAAAGTTATGATTTGAACTTACCCGTGATATTTGCATGTCCTGTATGTCGCCAGCATCAAAGTGACGAACAGCCCTATCCATCCCCTTAAAATTCTTCACAGACACTCCCTCATCACCGGCTTCGACATTGTCATGTACAGACTTCCTAGACCTTTCAACCATAAAGTTGTAAATTGCAAGGAAGGAAGGACATGGCAATTCAGAAACCGAAACTACTGAATACCTAACCCGATTGAAAGGTGGTAGGTTTTCTGTCCCCTCTAAAAGACTGACTGACGGAAATAAAGCAATCACATCAGTTTCTTGGCGAATCACAGGAGTAATGATGTCAGTCGGTACAGAGCTTGTGATTACTTGCCCAATCAAGTGTTCTTTTCTTTTCCCCTTTGAATCTATTCCAACCTCTTCACATAATTTCTGTATTGAGGACTTCGACAATTTCTTCAAACTTTCGCGGGTCGCCATGTTGGTTGCGTAGGACGCTTCAGACGACTTCATCGCGGAAGTAGTTATGCGCATGTCTGGGGATTAGCGTGAACTGGTTTATTCGTAAGGCCAGAAATCGAGTTATATAGTTTTGATGACATCGGTCCGCTATTGGGCCGATATCATTTTGTCATGTTTATGTGGGTTTTTTTTTATTTTGGCACTTAAACATTAAAAGCAGCCTAATCTTTCTTTTAAATACCTTCTGGTAATAAATAAGTGTTAGAAATAAATATATTGAATAACAAATATATAAATAGTGATGACGGCCCGACGTCGGCCCAATAACGGCATATTTAGCCGATATTCCGCCCTTCAACCGACATCGGCCCGATATCAGCGTGCTGGCTGGGGGGACGGCGCGGGGGCAAATGTATGTATGCATTTTCTACTTTATTGAAAGATTTAGAGATGTTTAGTTATGTATAGATTAAGAGATGTTGAGCTATGTATTTTCTACTTTATGTATATATTTAGAGATGTTAAGCTATGTATATTCTGCTTTATGAATAGATTTAGAGATGTTTAGCTATATATTTTCTACTATATGTATTGATCTAGAGATGTTTAGCTATATATTTTCTACTCTATGTATAGATTTAGACATGCTTAGCTATATATTTTCTACTTTATGTATTGATCTAGAGATGTTTAGCTATATATTTTCTACTTTATGTATAGATTTAGAGATGTTTAGCTATGTATAGATTAAGATATGTTTAGCTATGTATAGATTAAGACATGCTTAGCTATGTCTATTCTACTTTATGTATAGATTTAGAGATGTTTAGCTATATATTTTCTACTTTATGTATAGATTTAGACATGTTTAGCTATTAACATTCTACTTTATGTATAGATTTAGAAATGTTTACTGTGTATTTTCTACTTTATGTATAGATTTAGGAATGTTTAGCTATATATTTTCTACTTTATGAATAGATTTAGACATATTTAGCTATATAATTTCTACTTTATGAATAGATTTAGGATTGTTTAGCTATATATTTTCTACTTTATTTATAGATTTAGAGATGTTTAGCTATATATTTTCTACTTAATGAATAGATTTAGAGATTTAGAGATATTTACTCCATTACATCTTTTATGAAGGTCTTTAACAATACATATGTACTGGTTGAAGTGTTGACTGATGAACGTAACCCCCCCCCCCCCCCCCCCCCCCCCCCCNACACACACACACACACACACACACACACACACACACATGTATATGGTAGTGTCTTTATAATTTGGTAATAGATACAGTAGGCCAACAATGAATTACAATGCGTCTTCATAGGTGCATGTTCTCCTTTATGTGGTTAATTAAAGATATTTAGAAATAAGAAATGATGTCCTTCCTGTGTGGTGCCTTTGGTATTCGGGGAATTACTGCTTTTGTTTCATTTTCCTGGTAAGTTAAAACTGTACTGATTTGTCATTTCCTGTGACGACATAGCTGTATTGATAAGAAAACACATAAAAGAAACTTATACCCAACGAACAACAGAAGGAATTCCAACTTAAGCAATTGCATCATGTATTACCGTTCTACATATAGTTTCAATAGTATTGTGGCCACTGTAGGGAATTTCAATGTCATTAAAATGGCCCCGCGTATGTACTTCCTTGTGCAGGTTTATCTGATAGTTTCGAAACTTCGTTCTGATATATGTAAAGAAAAAACATTTTCAAAGGATTTTTCTATTAGAAAATATTATATGTTCACTGTATCAGATTTGAATTCTATTGCAGTTGAATTGGTGTTTTCCCTGCTTCACAAAACACATCAAACCTCCCGTACCCATCATGTCAATATGGATAGAAATTATGTAGGCCTACTTTGGTTTCAGGTGAATATTTAAACAAGAGGCCCAGAGGGCTTGTATCGCTCACCTAAATATTTTTAAAATAATTGGTATGAAGTAAAGATATAGCACTCCATGGTAGGTGCTGTAAGTACATATGAAATTTCAGAAAGATCCATCCAGTACTTGAGAGATATAGCGAGAAAAAACTTCAAGCAGAGCCCCACCCCTATGCTCCTAGGGGGTGTCATACCGACCGTTTATACAAAATTGAGTCCCCTTGGCCCAAGGATGCTCCTTAATAAATAAGGATAAAATCCCTTAATCCCTATGGTAGAAGAAGGATTATAAAGGTTTTACCTCTATAGGGCCCCGTCCCTCAGGTCCCAGGGGGGCCAGACCCACCGTTTATACAAATTTGGTTCCCCTTTACCCAAGGATGCTCCACGCTAAATATGGACCAAATCCTTTCATTCCTACAGAAGTAGAAGGATTTTAAAGAATAATTTGCTATATTTCCCCTATTAGGCCCCGCCCCTCAGCCCCCATGGGGGCCACACCCACCGTTTATACAAAATTGACCCTTGACCTAAGGATGCTCCAGACCAAATGTAGTCAAAATCTTCTTGGCCGTTCAGGACTAGTAGCGTGTTAAAGGAAAAGTGGACGGACGGACGGACGTCGGACCCTGCGGTATGGCATTAGCTCACCTGGACCAGGTGAGCTAATAAAACGAAAGAAACACACAATTTTATTAGCTCAGTTATACAGTTATATGCACTCTAGCTGTCCGGTCTTTAAAAAGCACCAAAAAGCATCACTCCATATATAATAACACTGTATTCATTGTTGTGGAACCCTGTCATGACCAGTCATAGGGCTATTTATAGCTTTTTGATAAAACCGGTGACTAATATGTTTTTCCATGCGTAGGAATTCGATCAATTCGATAGCTAGACAAGCTGTTCTATGGCGACCGGTTAGGGCCCAATAACAATTTCGTGATCTCGCTCCCTTGACCTGATGTTGACACGGCGACAACGCGAGAATACGACGAGGGAGCGATATAAGTGTCGCTCTGTCGCCGTCGAATTCTCGCCCCCTCGTCGTCGTACTCTCGCCCCCTCGTCGTCGTATTCTCGCCCACTCGTCGTCGTATTCTCGCCCCCTCGTCGTCGTATTCTCGCCCCCTCGTCGTCGTATTCTCACCCCCTCGCCGTCGTGTTATCGGGTTGTCGACTTTTTGGGCATCCTCAATACTTCAGGGGTTAAGCTCACTTTCGCTCTCTGCACCACTGGAACATGTCGTAGCAAAATTGAAGGCATGCTATTTGATTGGTTTACAGAGGAGCGACATCATACTTCAAAGCCAGTGGATGTTACCGTTACGCGACCGCGAGATTCTTTCGATGAACATCGATCAAACTAGTTTTCTTGCATCATACAAAAGGTGGCGTACACTGATCCTTCGGTTTTGCTTAAATGACATATTCATTGAGTATAGAGGTAAGCCCTGTAGTATCGAGGATAACTTTAGGTCGAGGGCGCGTGGTCACGAATTGGTAATTTTGTCCCTAGCGGCCACCATACTAGACATTTTGTTTGTTCTCTTTGTTGTCGTTGGCCTATATTTTTGCAGAAGTGCACAACACATATCTAGCTGTACTACAGTTACACAATATGACCCTTAAACGAAATATGTCATTGTGAGTCTGTATAGACATACTCGTTCGTCAATCTCTTAATTACGTTGTTGGCATATATCCAATTTTTACTCTGTGCATACATAAACTGGATTTTACTTATTTTGCGGGGCTATATTTTTTCTAGAAGATATTTTAAGAAAAGATAAGATTGACAGTATCGATCTAGCTAAGAATATAGTTATTCACGTTGACGCTGCAATAAACAGCATGTATAGCATAGGTGGATATGTTCCTTGCAGAAATGATAAGGGAGGGTGTTTTTCTATTATAGTTGAGCTAAAAATAGATTATTCTAAAAAATAGATCAGGGAAAAAAAATTGTACACAAATACCCTATGTACAATACAATATCCTATGTACAATACAATATCCTATGTACACTACAATATCCTATGTACAATACAATATCCTATGTACACTACAATATCCTATGTACACTACAATATCCTATGTACACTACAATATCCTATGTACACTACAATATCCTATGTACACTACAATATCCTATGTACACTACAATATCCTATGTACACTACAATATCCTATGTACACTACAATATCCTATGTACACTACAATATCCTATGTACACTACAATATCCTATGTACACTACAATATCCTATGTACACTACAATATCCTATGTACACTACAATATCCTATGTACACTACAATATCCTATGTACACTACAATATCCTATGTACACTACAATATCCTATGTACACTACAATATCCTATGTACACTACAATATCCTATGTACACTACAATATCCTATGTACACTACAATATCCTATGTACACTACAATATCCTATGTACACTACAATATCCTATGTACACTACAATATCCTATGTACACTACAATATCCTATGTACACTACAATATCCTATGTACACTACAATATCCTATGTACACTACAATATCCTATGTACACTACAATATCCTATGTACACTACAATATCCTATGTACACTACAATATCCTATGTACACTACAATATCCTATGTACACTACAATATCCTATGTACACTACAATATCCTATGTACACTACAATATCCTATGTACACTACAATATCCTATGTACACTACAATATCCTATGTACACTACAATATCCTATGTACACTACAATATCCTATGTACACTACAATATCCTATGTACACTACAATATCCTATGTACACTACAATATCCTATGTACACTACAATATCCTATGTACACTACAATATCCTATGTACACTACAATATCCTATGTACACTACAATATCCTATGTACACTACAATATCCTATGTACACTACAATATCCTATGTACACTACAATATCCTATGTACACTACAATATCCTATGTACACTACAATATCCTATGTACACTACAATATCCTATGTACACTACAATATCCTATGTACACTACAATATCCTATGTACACTACAATATCCTATGTACACTACAATATCCTATGTACACTACAATATCCT